ACTGGAACAGTTACAGTGACAGAAAATACATCTTCATGATGAACCTGACCTATACTCAGAGCGGTAGTTACTCTAAATACCAACAGAAAGGGAAAGAGTCTTCAAATCAAGTATCAATGCTATCCGCTCTGTACACAGGGTAGATAAGGACAGGCAACTTAAGACATTGGCTACCTAAAATGAGGGGCAATAGAGGCACGAAGTGACTGGCTTACAAGGTTTCAAGAGGGAGTTTAGTTTAAGAGTATGGGGGGAAAGAAACAGTCCCTACTGGGTGGCTGTCATCTTGTCTGGATGGGTCTGGTGAAAAGAGATGAGGATAAGATTCAACAGTGAATAACTATTATCATGACTAATCACGACTGTCACAACGGTAAAGGTACAAGAAAAGGGGAGTGGTTGATCTTACAGTCCAGAAACAGAGGACCCTAGGACCATCAAGAGAGGAACGCACAAGCAGAATGCGGGACCTTATCCAGAGAAGTAGCAGCGCCAGAGATGGAGGCAGAGATGGGGGCATGGAGAGCGGGAGCAGATGAAGACTCTAGATTCATGGACTAAGAAGAGAAGGACTAAGAGCTGGTGGCCAGGAGCCAACTTGTAGAATGTGCCCTTTGGAGAAGTAAATTATTATATATGCCTGAGCGGTTTTCTTTCTTTGTGCGTTTTTTAAAAAAAGCTAAAGTGGATAGAGAGAAATACTGTTAACTGAAGGTAGGTACATGGAGGGGATTATAATCAATGTAATGAAACAAGGTAGATGATTTGTTGAATGTAAAACTGATGCTATGCTGATGATACAACCTTGCTTGCTGAAAGTGAAGAGGACTTAAAATATTTACTGATGAAGATCAAAGAGCACAGCCTTCGCTATGGATTGCATCTCCATGTAAAGAAAACAAAAATCCTCACCACTGGACCAATAAACAACATTCTTATTAACAGAGAAAACACTAAAGTTGTCAAGGATTTATTCTTCTTGGAACAACTATCAACACTCATGGAAGCAGTAGTCAAGAAATCAAACGGCCTATTGTATTACGTAAATCTGCTGCACAAGACCTTTTTAAAGTTTTGAAGAGCAAAGATGTCAGCTTGAGGACTAAGGTGCGCCTGACCCAAGTCATGGTATTTTCAATAACCTCATATGCACATGAAAGCTGGACAGTGAATAAGGAAGACCATAGTAGAACTGATGCTTTTCAGTTATGGTGTTAGTGGAGAATATTGAAGGTGCGTGGGATGCCAAATGAACCAACAGATCTGTGTTGGAAAAAGTGTAGCCAGAGTGCTCCTTGGAGGCCTGGATGGCCAAACTTTGTCTCTCACACTTCACATATATTGTCAGAAGGGACTAGCAGCTGGAGAAGGATATCATGTTTGGTAAGGTGGAGGGTCAGAGAAAAAAAGGAAAACCCCCAGTGACATGGACTGGCAAAGTGGAAGCATCAATGGGCTCAAGCGAGGCAACAATTGTGAGGTTGGCCCAGGATCGGGCAGTGTTTCGTTCTGTGTGCATAGGGTCGCTATGACTCGGTACCGAACCAATGGCACCTAACAACAACAACATCCTAACCGTTGGAGTCTGCAGAATTCCCTTTTCAGATCTACAACTGGAAAACAAGTTGATATACAGACTCTTTAAGATCTTTTTCTAGGAACTATAGAAAATCTTACAATGTAGCTCTGCTAGACTGAAGTACAATTTTTTTTTTCTATTATAGTTGCTTATCATTTGAATATGGAATACAGTAAAACAGATAAACATATACAATACAGAACAACAGCATATTCATAACTAAGTTGGTAAAATATTTGTTGTTGTAAAGTGCTGTTAAGTTGGTTCAGACTCATAGCGACCCTACATATAGGGTTTCTAAGGAGAGGTTGGTAAGGATCAACCTCTGACCTGACCTTGCTGTTTAAACCTCCCCCACAGGGCCACACCAAGGAGCTCTGGTAGCGTAGTGCTTACGAATTGGGCTGCGAACCGCAAGGTCAGCAGTTGGAAACTACCAGCTGCTCCATGGGAGAAAGATGAGGCATTCTGCTCCTGTAAAGATTTACAGCCGCAGAAACCCTGTACAGGGTCGCTGAGTCGAAAGTGACTCCACGGCACATAACTACCACCATAGGGGCACACCAGATCCCTGGTAATATGTTGTTGTTAAGTGTTGTCAAGTGGCTGGTGAGCTTGAATCCCAGACTTTACAGTTCAAATGACTTTGCAGTCCCTTGAATTAATCCACAGTGCCACACCTTCAAAATGTTCATGGAAAAATTCCACTATCTTTTAATTTCATTTCATTTTTCCATGAACTTTTTGAAACCCTCTCATTAAATACTCAAAACACAGTCAAGGTAGAAATTTGTTCTGCTTAAGCTTGAATGTAATGTTAATAAATGAATTGCTTCAGTGAGAAACGTACATCTTTACTTTTTATTTAAGGAGCTCTGTTAGCGTAATTGTTACGAATTGAGCTGCTAACCTCACAGTCAGCAGTTCAAAACTACCAGCTGTTCCGCAGAACAAAGATTAGGATTTCTGCTAAACTCTATACAGGGTTGCTATGAGTCAGAACCGATTCCACAGCAGCGCACCACCACCACCTTTTATTTACATTGCAATTCCATTTGTTTTAGTTTTATGCACAAAATGAGTATTAAACAATGAGGTTAACTTCACTAAGACTTACCGGTGTATAACTATGCACACTTCCAACACTGTTCAAATTAACAGATGCCAAACTCTGGTCTGAGAGACTGTTGTTAAGGCTACTACGTGGGCTATCACTACCATCCTGATCAGTGTTGTACAGCGTTACCTAGAATGAAAACAATTTTTTTAAATATAATGATTATTTTTTTCATCAAGTCTATAAAAATACAACTGAAGCAGCAAATGGCAGAAATAAAAAAAATGGTTAGTGGTCTTTACTATGTTGCTTACCCTAATTTCATGCTCCAATCACTAACACTAGAGTCCTAGTGTGGCGCTGTGGGTTAGTTAATGTGCTTTACTGCAACATTAGTTTGAACCGCAAAGTTGGTAATTCAAGATCACCAGCCACTCCTCAGAAACCCTATACACGGTCGCTATGGGTCAAAACCAACTCAACAGCACTTCACAACATTCACTAACATTACGTTTACCTTGAAATGACTGTCAAACTAAAGGATATATTCTGTCTACTGTTATTAAGTGCAGATGAGTTGGTTCCAATTCATAGTGACCCTGTCAAGAGTTTCCAAGGAATAGCAGGTGGGTTTAATGTACCAACTTTGCAATTATCTTAGTATTCATCCTACAAAGCCACACAGAACTTTCGTCTTTTTGTTTGTTTTTGTTTTTGTTAAATGCTGTCAAGCAGGTTCTGAATCACAGTGACCTTGTATAGGCTTTCCAAAGAGCAAATGGTTTGTGGTTCAAACCATCAACCTTGTAGCTCAAACTAACCTTGCGGTACAGTGTTTATTCTACAGTGCCACAATAGAACTTCAGGATTCTGTCTGTTGTTAAGTGCCATCAAGTTGGGTCTGAGTCATAGCAACCCAAGGAGCAGGTGGTGTGTTTAAACTGCCAACCTTGTGGTTCCCAGCCAGTGCTGATGCTACAGTGGCACCACACAAGGTACATGAATTCAACTTACTATCAAATATAGTTTATCATCACATAATGAGTGAGAATTATAGCACCTTTATACTGTTACATATCTTGTAATGCATAAAATTTGCTTTTGCTCAATCTTTAAGCAAAACGGGAATATCATTCTATCAAAATGTTAGGCTTCAAAAGACAGAAACAAAAATAAACTGGGTATTTTTGCTTAAAACTATAGGAATCATAGTGTTCAAAATATTGAAAATTAGAAACACATATGCAAAATCATAAATGTAATCCAATTTTAAGTAACAACAATAACATGGCTACTGAAAAGTTGTACATGAAAGTGTTAACAATGATAAACTAACTGCCAGGGAACTGGCAGTTCCTAAAGACCTTCGGCACTGATAGTGTACTTTTACAGTGGTTGCATCTGTTTATAATAAGCACTATTATGTTGTAATTAGAAAGAAATGCAGGTATTTTTTAAAGAACAAACTAGCTTATTTTTCAAGGTTCTACTTCACGAAAACATTTGTGTGCAGTTTAGGTAGTTTTTGGATTCCTGGTATGATGCTGTGGGTTAATGTGCTAGACTGTTACAGTCATATGAACCCTGAAGTCGGTGGGTCAAGCTCACCAGCTGCTACTCGGAAACCTTATGCAGGGTCGCTATGGGTCGGAACTGACTCAATAGCACTTATCAAAAACAACAACACTACTAGACAGTTAGCTCCTTAAGTTCTAATAAGTAACTAGAAATTTCACAGCATTTTCTGCTCAATAAGTAGGTAACATGTTTGTCCAATTTAGTCAGCAACTATCACCATCTTTCTCTTTGTGCTGTAAATGGGATTACACATCATTCTTTTGCCAAGAAGCAGAATACGTGCAAAACTAAGCATGTATGGACCTGTATTTAAGATAAGACCAGACTGTTTCACACTCATAGAAGATAAAACAAACACATACACAGGAATACATAGGAGGGAAAGAGCATTACAAAATGAGACAGAAAAAAGAAAACACCTTGGCAAAGATTTTTATGGCAAAAATGAGAGGATTTTTAACGTTCATGGAAAAATTTAATTATCTTTTCATTCCATTTTTTCTGCAAACTTTTTGAAGCCCCCCACCCCCACCCCATCGTATTTCCAATGAAAATTTTATCAAAATCATCTTAAGGGTTTCACAAGAATAATTTCAAAACTATAAAAAAGAACAGTATCAACAAATTATAAGCACCCATGGTCCTTTTTTTAGCTGTTCATTTTTGCCATCACTCAGGCCAGGAATATTCTCCACGATCCCAGACAAGTCCTCTTAATTTTATTTGAAGGCAGATAAACACTTTTATTAAATATAATACAAAGACTGGAAAAAGTACAGAAGTTATTATTTTATTTATTACAAAGTAGGCAAACTCATATAATCACCACCTAAGTCAAAGTATAAAACAGCAATTCTCAAAACTTTGCTATCAGAATTCTGTTTAGTCTCAAAATGTGAGAAGACAAGGAAATTTTGTTCATGTTGATATGCGTACCATATTTGTTGTTGTTAGTGCCACTGAGTGGGAATGTGACTCATAGCGACCCTTTAAGGGTTTCCAAGGACAAACTGGTAGGTTTGAACTGACCTTGTAGTTAGCAGTCCAGTGCTTATTCTACAGCACCACACCAGGATTCCTGTCAATAACTAGAGTGACATGGGAAACAACTCACCAATAAATAATTAAAACGAGAAGAGTGGTATTGTTTTATATTTTTGCAAATCTCAATGTGTACCTTAATAGTATAAAACAGCTGTATTATCACATCTGCTTCTGCATTCAATATATTCCAAGATTATACAAAGAAATGTAATATTGGAGCCTGGGTGGCGCAGTGGGTTAAACATTGGGCTGCTAAACCAAAGGTCAGTGGTTCAACCCACCAGCAATTCCTTAGGAGAACGATCAGGAAACAGCTTAGTGAATCCTATGGAGCTCTGAGTAGCAATCAATTCAGTGGCACTGGGTATGGGTAGATATATAAAGAAAAGTCAGTATTACATAAATATTGAAAAAGGAAAAAGCGCTTAAATTAAATTTTTTACATAGCTAAGAACAGTCTTTCTTAATAGTATACCAAAGCACATCAAGGTTCGTTTTTTTAAAAGATTAGAGCTAATGTGAAAGCTGATTTTGTAAATTATGCATTGGTTGCTTAGAAAATACTGGTTTATTTAGTAATACAGAACTTCTAGATATTGACATACTTCATTATACAATTTTTTTTTCTAAACCACATTTACTAATATCACCACAGATCTCATTAGAAGAGTCTTTAAAGAATAGAAACCGATCAGGGTTACTGTGGTGAATACAAGTTTTCCAAAGTTCTAATTACTGCTAAAAGATTAAACTTTGTCACTGGTAGCAGATAGTGTCAATTAACTTTCTTTAAGTGACAGGTTCACTTTGTTCCTTTTTCAAAAAACTTCTTGTTCTTTCAAGTACAGTCAGGGGTCCATAAACAAACCAAGTCAGACCAACTTACAATTACAAGTCACTAACTGAGCAATCACTGTGCTTTGTTATGTAGAAGTGCTTTAGGTGTACACACTCATTTCACAAAGAATATTAAAAAGATGCCCACTTAAGGGATAAGTTTTAACAATAAAACTGCTTATCCTGCTTCCCAGAGATGTTCTTAAACAGACCTTTTTTGGTTTGTTTTAAACTGAGTGTGTGTGACAGTAAAGAATATAATGACTATTAGTTGAATCAAGGAAAACTGGAAGGTGTCAAAAATGAAATGGAACATCAGTATCATAAGCATTGTTGTTGTTGTTGTTGAACAGTCAAGTCGATTCTGGCCCATAGGGAGCCTATATAGGGTTTCTGATGAGCAGCTGGTGAGTTTGAACTATTGACCTTGCAGTTCAAACTGACCTTATGATCCAGCACTTATGCTACAGTGCCACAGCAGAATTCAATTCTAGGCATTAGTGAGCTGAAATTGATTGGTATTGGCCATTTTGAATCTGACAATCACATGCTTTACTATGCCAGAATGACAAATTGAATAGGAATGGTGTTGCATTAATCATCAAAAAATCATCTATCTTGCAGTATAATGTTGTCTGTGATAGGATAATGTCCACAAGTCTACAAGAAAACCAGTTAATATCACTATTTTTCAAGTTTACAAGCCAACCACTAAAGTTGGTGATGATGACACTAAAGAATCTAACAAACTAGTTCAGTCTGAAATTGATCAAGCATGCAATGAAGATGTATTGGTAATTACTGGGGATTGGAAGGCAAAGATTGGGAACAAAGAAGGATCAGTCATTGGAAAATATGGCCTTGGTGAGAGAAATTATGCTGGAGAATGCAAAACAGAATTTTTCAAAACTATGACTTATTAATTACAAATACCTTTTTAAACAACATGAAAGACAATTATACACATGAACTTCACCAGATGGAACACAAAGAAATCAAACTGACTACATCTGTGGTAAGAGACGGTGGAAGAGTTCCATATTATCAGCCAAAACAAGACCAGGGCAGACTGTGGAACAGATCATCAATTGCTCATATACAAGTTCAGGCTGAAGTTGAAGAAAATTAAAACAAGTACAATCTTGAATATATCACACCTGGATTTAGAGATCATCTCAAAAACAAATTTGATGTAATTATGCAAATGACCAAAGACCAGAAGAGTTGTAGTATATCATCAAGAACATCATAAAGAAGAAATAAAAGGTCATGAAGAAGACAAGAAAGAAAAGATCAAAATGAATGTCAGAAGTGATTCTGAGACTTGTTCTCCAGTGTAGAGATGCTAAAACCAAATGGAAGAAATGATGTGGTAAAAGAGTTAAACAAAAATTGCAAAGGGCAGCTCGAGAAGATAAAGTAAAATATTATAAAGAAATGTGTAAGTATCTGGAGTTGGAAAACCAAAATGGATGGACATGCTCAGCATATCTGGAGTTGAAAGAGCTGAGTAAAAAACTCAAGCCTTGATTTGATTACTGAAAAATTCTTTCAGCACAAGATTGAGAAATGCAGAAAGCATCAAAAGAAGATTGAAGGAATACACAAAATCACTATACCAAAAAAAAAAAAAAGTTACACCATTTCAAGAGACAGCATATGATTAAAAGCCAATGGTACTGAAGGAAGACCTTCAATGTGCACTGAAGAACGAAGACCCAAGAATTGAT